CCCCAAAACCCCAAAACCCCAGAATTCGTAAATCGATAAATAAGCTGGTTTATGAAAAAAAATATAAGTTTAACACTAAAAAATAAATCAATGTCAGTTGAGGATTATTCTAAGCAAATATTTGAAGCAATAAACAAACTAAAAATAACAGATTAAGATATCACCCAGCACCAAAGATTAGGATCTTTCTATGAAGTTAGTGATTCGCCATTAGTCTCACCATCCCGCGAGAAAATTTTTGTTGATGACTTACAAGATCATTGGATGAAGATGAATGAATTAGAAAGTGATCATTCTTCTATTATGGAGTAAAGTTACGAGGAATAATATGTGCCTTCTATGATCAAGAAATCAAAGACTAATTTTTAAAGTGGTAAAAAAACTCCTTTCGAAATTGAGTAAGAGCTATTAAGTGAGCTCTCATTGCTAGAAAAGTAAGACAGTGATAGACATAAAGGTATACAACCATTTCACGAAGATTATATTAATAGTGATTCAAGAAAAATAACATAAGATGCTATTGATCGAATTTTCGACATTAACTTCAACGTTAATGACGACTTATAAAAAAGGTTAGAACATAAGAAAAATGAATTGAGAAATGGAGCTAAAATGAATTAAGGCATAAGGCAGATAGATATGAATCAGTATAATGTTGATGATATTATTATGGGTAAAAGTGGTAAGAAAATTAACAACTACCTAAGTACAGATAATAGTGAATTAGAAGCCCCATACTCTCATTATGAATATAAAGCTTTTAACTAATAATTTGGCCTATAAGAAAATTAATTGACAAAAGAGACGCCTAGATTCATGGAAGAGTCAGGAAGACCTACAAAAAAACTATCTAATATAGGATTGGATATGAATGAGCTAAAGTTAAGTTCAAAGATACTGAACTATGAATAAGCAGATCAAGAAGATTCCAACCTATTAAATTCACCAGACACCTCGATATATGATACTAAGCTAATTTATGATACGAGCTAAGTTAAAGCTCAAACTCCCTTGTAAAGTCCTGGACCACGAAGAAGAATACACTTCAACTAAGGCTCATTTGATATGAGAGGAATAAATCTGGGTTATTCTTAAGATAATACCTTAGATTAGATATCATCAATTGATGATAATAGTATATGTAGAGATATAGACAGAGCGAAATCTGAAAATCGAATTCCAATGTTTAATGGAATGTTTTCACCAAGCAATGTAACTAGTGAAAGAAATACTATTTATCAAGGGAATCAGTATTTAAGAAGAGATATGCAGGCTGATGCCGAGGATAAATACAGTGATAAGACTATGCAGTCAGTTTTTAATTAATTCCAAAGTAATAATACTAGTTTTGTTGGAATCAATCACCATTCAGATAATGACATCACTAATAAGATGCTCAAGGATTTCTACTAGCACTCAGGCAAAAAGATTATGATAGTTGAGGAAGAGATTGGAGATATTGATATCAAAATTGAGTATAACGAGTAGAATAATTAGGATATTTATGAATGGAATAAAATTGTTAATGAGGCCAAAGATAGCCTTCAGAAATCTTAAGATATTCAACTAAGTCAAAGTAAATCTTAGACTGGCATCACTAACTAAAATCAGAGTAATATGGAGAAGACTAATATCTCCAATAATGCATAGAAAACATATCTAAGACATTTAATTAAAAAGAAGCCTCTGGATTAAGATGATCAGCTAATTAACTTCACAACTTTATTAGGAATGAATGGTAATTCTGTCTCTACTTACTCAAATAAACTCCTACTTAATACAGACAGTCATTAGTTACTAGAAGATTGCATCATTTTTCTGGTTCTCATTGGTAGAAAAAACTTTCATACTTATTTGCTTTCTGATTAAGAGGCTAATAGATAAAGAATTCTCTATTCTAATTTACTAAAGAAAAATGAAAGTCATGAGGCATATTTTGGCCTAGCTAAAATATACTTCTATTTAAATAAACTAGAATAGGCTTATGATTTTATTTGTAGAGCAATTTAAATGAAGTAAAATGATGGTCTCTACTATCTATGGCAAGGATTTATACTCTATTATTTGGTTTCTTATTCAAGTAATAGATTAAAGAAAGAGGAATAAGTATAAAAGGTTAAGAAATATCTCAAAGAATCTGAGAGAGCATTAAACAAAGCCCTTAAATTAAATAATAAATCAGTAGCTATAATGTATCTACTACTTAAATTGAGTGTCTGGTCTGAAAAGAATAAAAAGAAGTATAAATATTAATTTTCAAGGAAAGGGTAGGATTATGCTCTTAAAATCTAAAAGTTAGATTCATATATGGGCTACATGGCTTGGGCTGAAATATATATTAGCTAAAGAGAAAAGAGATAATTAGGTATATAAGTATTACTTGATCTAATCAAAGAGCATAACGAGAGGCCTCAAGCGTATTTAAAGCTATGGTTTATTTACAATCTTAATAACAATAACTTGAAAGCACTAGAATTAGCTGAAAAATTGTTTATCTATGGAACAGGTGTAATTTAGACTGCAGAAGATTAAGATGAATCAAAAGCATCTCCAAATGTGGCATCGAATATAGTCTTATTCAGATCCTGCCTAATAACTCTGCTCTATGCAAAAAGTTTATTTAAGAGCTAAGAACTATTTAGATGCTATGAACTACTCTAAAACTAATTTATGGCATTCCCTTGGTTTTTCTCTTTATTATACGCATATGCCAAGTACGTCATTGAATCAGACTAAATTAATTATCTTGGTTCTGCCATTGGGGCATTGGAAGAATGTTTGAGAAGCTAAGTCAAAGAACGACATTCTAATATCAACTACTATTTAGGCAAGGGATATTAAAAAATGAAATAGCCTGTCAAGGTGTTTGAATATTGGAAATAGTACTTGATAACAAGTCGATCTAATAGAGCAAATCAAGATAAAAAGAAAGATGCATAATAAGCAATTGAGGAATATGAAGATTTTTGCCTATTGTAAGATATTATCTCTATGTTTACAAATTTAGGATTTAGAGAGTGGATCACTAGATCAAATAACAATAAACAACTATGAACAAGTCAAGGATTAACATCATAGATCTTGATGGAGAGAGATACATTGAATAATTGAATAGCTTTGCCTCGCTAGATGAATAAACTAAAATGTTATATAGAGCAAAAATTTTCGGTTTTATGCTAAAAGACAGGGTGAAGGCAACAGAACAATTTGAAAAGCTCTTATAGTATTATCCTACATTTTTAGAGGGATAATTATAGTACTGGGTTTATCTAAAATCAAATAAGCAATATCAATAGGCTTTGATAGTTGCTGAAAGAACTAGTTAATCGTCTGAGAGCACTAAAATACCAACAAGTCAATGGGTGGAGGCTCGATTTAACTTGTCTAAATCATACCTTATTGGAAAGCAAGTTAAAAAAGCTATTGATACTCTCAAAGAGATTTGTTATCTGCTCCCTCCATTTCCTATTGAAGAATTGCCTTTTATAGATTCAGTATTATAAGCAAAGGATGAAGATATAATTTAAAGAATGGATTAAGATAATGAAGGTATTACACTAAGAACACCTAAAGATTTATAAGATGATAAAAACTATTTCTCATTTGCAGTAGAAGGTTAAACTAGTCATAAAAAATGTGAATCTATTCAAATTGTTTAAGTAGATGAATACAAAGAATAAGAGGAGCCGAATTATTTTAATGAATATCGAGATTGTAAAAGGAATCTAATGGTTATGTAATCTCTTGATTCCCCGTTTGTTTTAAGTTAGCAGGTTGAAGTTCTAGAATTAGAGGATATTGAAGAGGGCAGAGCTACTTCTTAGTTTGGCCAAGAGAATTTTTAGCAGCCATAAAGATCAATTGCAACTAATGATCAAAATTCAGATAAGAAATAGCAATAGACTAATACGATAGAAGTTCCTACCCCTACACGAAATATGAATTACCTATAGATGGATAGTTAGAAGTCTATACTTTCAAGCAAAAAAAGCTTTAATTATGATGCTTTTATGAATAATGCGTTCACAAATATACCTTCTAATACTCAAAAACCATCTAATGCCTAAATGAGCTCTGCTAGAAAGAGATCATCAAGAGTAAGTCAATAATAATTGACTAGTTTAACTTACTTTTTAGTTTTCTTTTATGAATAATAGTACTAAAAAAAGCATAGTAGGAATAGAAGGGCTTTTAAGTTTTAGAAATGGAATTAGAGAATCTTTAGCCTCATAAAATCTAACAACTTAAGAGGATTAAAAAAGTGTAATGGATAGCGAAGGATTTGCAGTATACTCAAGCGTAATATTCTTATTTTAAATCGGTAAAATCGCTGCTGAAACCGGAAAATGCCTTGAAGATGGATTTAATGCTCTAAATGATTACCTATCAATAATAGAGTATTATAAGCTAGACATGCCTGAGCATTCGTTTGATAAGCTGAAACTCAAAGCAAATTATTATCAGGGATTAATCTTCTACAAAGTCAAAGATTATGAGTAAGACTATTTTTTATTTAAGAAATAACAATTAGAATGGCTTAGTAGTACTTGGCAGATATAATGATAGACTTGAGAGATAAAGGATTCTAGAATAAATTTGAGAATGCTTAGAATAAACTTGCTAAGATTTACAGAAGACTAAGGAGAGAAATTATCACTGATTACTTTAGATGAAATTTTTGAAGTGAAAACACTTCTTAACTTATTTGTAAATGCTGTTGAGAATTTTATTGTGAACTAATTCATCCAGAAACTTTAATGAATTAATTATTTAAAAAACAATTTGCTTAGAATTTATGATTTTTCTAATGAAATTTTGCTAATGGGGTTTTGGGGTTTTGGGGTTTTGGGG